GTTTTGGAGACCTTTGAAGCTGTCACCGCTATTTTCGATAGCCTTTCTCCCGATGTACAGGTCGGATGTGTTGTATCCATCCATCCTCCATGGTAAGGAAAGATCTTCGCTGAGGACAGTCTCTCTAATTTTGTGCCGTTTCTTTTTTCCAACCCAGGCACGAAGTAGCGAGTGTTAAAGGACATGGAAGAGTACTTCTCGTTCCTCGTTTTGAGCTTCTCTTGGCCCAAAAGGACGTGGATTTCCCTTGAAAGTACAGTCGAAACTTCTCCTGCTGAATTTTTTTTTTTTTTTTTTATGTTTGTTTCAGGCTATCGTGGACGCACATCCTTTGACACAGTAACAAAAAAAGTCTTGGTAAAGACGACTTGACGAAAAAAGCAAGTTCGACGATCCTGCGACGCCAGTCAATGATACACACTGATCTTGAAACTCTCTACAAGCCCCGCGTGGATTGCGAGATCATTGGCCGTCGCCGTCAACCAGCCTGAACATCCAAAAGCTCTAAGACACATCGAATTTCCGAACTCTCTACGCATCCTTCGAAGAGTCAAAGCCGGCAGCTTCTTCCCGCTTATTTAAGCAGACCAAGCAGTGTGCTCGACTCACAGACTACAACAATGGCTTCGCTTTCCGTGAATCAAGTGAATGAATGGCGCAAGGCTCAAGAAATTACGCTCTCTCTGGATGTGGTAGCAGCTGCAAAATCACAGTTGGAGTTCCTTTCGCTGGTACATGCCAATTTCAAGCTGTTTGAGAGGCCTGTTCTGGAAAGGGCAATTGAGAGGTGAGATATTTACTTGTTTGATCTAGTTTGCTGATTTCTTCTTGGATTCTAGGTACCAGTACTGCTGCCTCCCGCTGTTAGCAAATTCTTCTGGGAATTTTTTCCCGCCACTCGACTGCGACTGGATATGGCATTGCCATCGCTTGAATCCTGTAAGTGTGGCTATTCCATTATCTGTCCACTTCAATTTACCAAAGTTACGTGTCTGACTAGGTTCAATATGCTGACGACTGTAAGAGATTGTTCGGTAAAATTGTGGAGGGACCTTCTTTGGCGAGGCACAGAAATGATCTCCAACAAAGCGCCAGTACATGGGCTTCGAATTTTCCAGACGAACCATACACTCTTGACATTTACGGTGGAGACTTAACAAGACGATATACCGAAAGACCAACCAATATCTTTTACGACTTGGCAGAAGCAGCTCTCAGGCAGAAAAGTTTCTACTATCAGGCAAGTGATGATCTTTCCTTGGAAGCAAATTAACTTTGAGTATGCAGGTTTCTGAGCCGCATTACCTGGGCGAGAGCTTCTTGGTAGTTGCTGTTGCACGTTACAAGGCGTTTCTCCATCTCATACGCACGTCTGGCACGTCAACATTTTTCGTTCCCTCTTACGACATCGATTTAATATGGCATACACATCAGCTTCACCCTGTGAGCTACCACAACGATCTCACACAGGTACTGGGAAGGATCTTCGAGCATGACGACACAGATAGCAACCGAGATTCCGGAGGAAAACTGGACAATGGATTCACAAAGACTCGATCTATGTGGGAAGACACGTATGGCCTTCCATACGAGAAAGCAGGGTGCATGTACAGAGGGGAGCCACCAGCATCCGTTCCCAAAACACCTGCTTATGATCCAGCCAAACTCGCCAGGCTCGCTAGTAAAAACGATTATGACTTGGCTGAGCGAAAGACTATTCAGGTATTGGAGTTCGCAGTCTTATTGTCAATCTCGTCTGATCCGATTCTATTCGATTTATGCAGGTTCATCTCTCCGTAAGAGGTACCAGAGGTTTGCCAGACGATAGGACCATCTACTACGTGATAACCTCGTTAAACCATCAAAAGTATCTGAATCTCGAGAGCCAACGAGGGAAGGCTTCCTCTCATCTGAGCGTAGTCTCAACCATAACAGCTGAACTCTCCACCGAAGGGCTGGTGCTCGCAGTTCGACAGAAGCGCTTTTTGATATCCAAAACCGTGGGCCTGCTCCTGATTCCATGGAAAACTGTCATCCGCTCGGAAACGCAATCACTCAGCGGCTGGTTTCCATTGCTGGAGACAAAGAAGGACCGAGAAGTGTCGGTGCTGGTTTACATCTCCGTTACTCCTCCAGTCACTGCGCCTTATCTCTTCAGAAGCGTGAGAGTGAGAGACACGGGAGACGACTGTGCCACTCACAGCCTCCACAGTCACAGAGAAGGCATGTGGATAACAAGGAATGTTTTCGATCACACCAGAAACGAATCCTTCGTCGTCCGTTGCAGGTTTGCAAATTGAGCCACTTTTTCTAGAACTAATGTGGCAACTTTTGCTTTAGATACAAGGGTGGGGGGCTTTTGCTAAGGAGCATTCTCGACACCGATAAAGTTATCCATGTTCACAAAGGAGGGTGGACATACGACGGTTCTTACAACACTGGCTCCGTAAATGGTATGAGCATCTTCTGGACATGTTTTGCAAAAGGTTTATAGTGTTGCTTTGTTTTCTCAGGTGAAATTCTAGGATCTGCATGGCAACTAGAGAAACCATCTTCAGTGTCTAGGAGATGGTCTCTAATGAACGGGAAGGCTATTTTAACTGTTAACAGAGATGTCAAGGATAAGCACTGGAACATGAAACCACAGCTCCGCGTTGAAATGAAATCCCACGACTGTCCGGTGAGTTAGTCTGCATATATAGTGGTACAGATTCTCTGATATAGTGGCTGATTCTCTGGAAAACTTGATTGTAGATCATGCTCTTCTCGGGTCGTCACCTGGAATTTGCTGTTCCTGGTGCATCCGAGCGACAGGAAGCGTGGTTTGTGACAATGGTAAGATTCACAAGAGACGCTCCTCAAGGCAAGGCGACAGCTCTTTTCAACTGGCGGTCTGGTGGCATGCAGGTAGACTTTAATCGAAATTTAGCTCCAATTTTGTGATATGATTTGTCTCAGATTGATCGCAATGAGGATGTGCTGCTTGTGCTTCTTTTATCGGCAACCATAAGCATGTCCGTGTCGGATATGCTCGGCAAAGCCATTCCTTCGTGGACGAATACGAGGAAACGAGTGATGGTCTCAGAAGAAGAACAAGATCATTGGGGTGAGAAACAAGTTTCTTTGCACGCAAATTCTAAGAACATTGCTGCTTGACCAGGTGCTGTGACAGTTGATCGCCGTCGCCGCAAGGACAGAGGCGGTGGCGGAGAGGGCGGGGGAGAGCACGGGGGAGAGCACGGGGAAGAGCACGGGGGCGACGGTGGTGACGGTGGCGATGATGTTGGTGGTGGTGATGGTTTCGGTGGTGATGGCCAGTGCTGGTATGATGGAGGTGGATCGTATTGTGGCGGAGGTGGTGCTGGTGGAGGCGGGTGTGGCATCAGTGGAGGTGGGGGATGTGGTGGAGCAGGAGGTGGCGGAGGCGGAGGCGGAGGTTGTGGAGGAGGTGGCGGAGGAGGTGGTGGCGGGTGTGGCGGAGGAGGTGGTGGCGGGTGTGGCGGAGGAGGTGGTGGCGGGTGTGGCGGAGGAGGTGGTGGTGGTGGCGGCGGTGGTTGTGGTGGTGGTGGCGGCGGTGGCGGAGTATCTAGCTGAAGGGAAATTATGATCATTGACTAGAAGCTAAGAGTTTTTGGATATCTGCGAGTTCAGACTCATTATGTAATGAACGATAAATGCAGCTTTGTTTAAAATAGTTGATAAAAAAAATTCAGTAGAAACGCACTAGGTCAAAAACATTGAGAAAGAAAGCTTTGTCGATTTATTGATTTAAGAGGAATTTATTTATGCTTTTGTTTCTTGGTGCTTGATTGGCCTAAATAGCTTTGCATTTCTCCTTGCAGCAGATTTTAGTGTTTTCACACTTAACCTGATTGAGTATGCAGGCGAAGTTTTTGAATCCTAAAGATCGATATCAACAAGATCTTTAGAAGAATCGATATTGGAGCAACAGACAATAGTACCCCCGCTACATTTTTCTGAATCATGGGATTCAACGTTGATAAGGCTTATTGCCACTAGAAAGAATGCAAGAACAAACTGAGTGGAGGAAGCCATTGACACTCTCTTTTGTAAATATGGAGCACTGATGGATTCATAGTCCTGATCACCAAGGGCTTTTATATAGGGGCTCCTGCGTGGTTTGTATGATCAAATGACTTGTTTAAGATTGTCACCTTTACAGTTCTAGCTGATTCATGACTACCTACATATGCACGTCACTGGGTCATGCTATCCGCCAGGTTTGTTCTCAAACCATTTTCTTTCACTTCCAAAAACCTCTTTCCTACCAAAAGAAAGCTTGACACAAAATGGAGAGAGTTTATAGAAGTTCTATTTTACAAGTATGTCTGTCACAAGTTTGATAATAGTTCTTCTCCTCTTCCTTTTGAGGATGATCACCACAATTGACAAACGAATCGAGATTGACTACCACTGATCCCCTCTTCCACGCACCAATCCTCTTGCTCATCGCATGAACTCTAGCTTTTTCCTCAACCATGCCCAAGCTTCCATAGATGTTGGCCATGAGAACGTAAGTAGCAGCCTGCTTCTCATCCAGCTTCACCAGTGCCTCAAACGCCAGCCTTCCAAATTCCAAGCTCTTCCACTTGTGACACGAGCTCAGCACGATGGTCCATGTCACCACATTCGCTGCGAAAGGCATCGAGTCCGCCATCTCCACCGCCTCCTGGAGTTTGTTTGCCCGGCCTAGCATGTCCACCACGACGTGGTAGTGCTCCATAGTCACGCTTGCAGCCTTCCGGGAGCACATCTCCTGGAAGAGCTTCCTCCCTCTTTCAACCAGCCCGGCATGGCAGCACGCGTTCAAGACCGCCAGTGTGGTGATGCCATCCGGTTGGAAGCCTTCTTCCACCATCCTTGCAAAGAGCTCGAGGACGGCGTCGGTTTCACCGTGGCGGCTGTAGCCTGTGATGAGCGAGTTCCACGAGACTATATCCCGGGCTCTTGTTCTAGCGGAATCGAAAACCTGGTGAGCCACGACCATGCTCCCGCACTTGCCGTAGAAATCCACCACCGAGTTCGTGACAAGCCTGCCAGCCTCGAGTCCACACCGGCATATATCTGCATGGATTTTCTTTCCAAACTCGAGCGATGCAACTGTGGAGCAGGCCTTCAGCGCGGCAACGAACGTCTGATCGTCGGGCTGGCAACGTTTCTCTTCAAGCCTCATCTTTGTGAAGAGCTCCAGTGCCATATCTCCCTCGTCGTTTTGAGCACAGCCGAGTATGAGCGCTGTCCATGACACCACATCGTGGCGCTTCATCCTGTCAAACACCCGGCGAGCCTGGAGGACGCTGCCGCACTTGGAGTACATATCCACCAGCGTGCTGCTCACACAGATGTCCGGCTCAAACCCGCCCTTGAAAGCTTCCCGATGAACAGCCATGCCTTTCTCCAGAGCTTTCACCTTGAGGACTTTGCCGTCCTCTTCAATGCCGTCCTCTCGCAAAGCCAAGTTCGTGCACGCGTGAAGAACTGCCACGAACGTCTGAGCGTTCGGTGCACACCCCGAGGCTTTCATTCTCTCAAACATCCCAAGGGTCAGCTCGCTCTCGCCATTCTGCGCGTAGCCAAACAGGAGAGCGGTCCACGAGACCACGTCCTGAGCCACCATCTTCTCAAATACGATGCGGGAGTCCTCCATGCTTCCGCACTTCGCGTATGTATCCACCAGGACACTTCCCACGAACATCTCCGTTGCAACTCCACTCTTGGCAGCTTCACGATGCACAGCCATGCCTTTCTCCAAGCACTGGATCTTTACACCTGAGTCGTTTGCCACCTCTCTGTCCGTCAGCCCCGTGCAAGCTTTGAGCGCAGCAACAAAAGCCTGCGAATCTGTCCTGCGTCCTTCTTCGCCAAGCACCCGAGCGAAGAGCCTGAGGCCAACCTCATTCTCCCCGTTCGTAGCATAGCCCAGGATCAATGCCGTCCAGGCCACCAAGTTGTGGCTCGGCATTCGATCGAAAACTCTGCGAGCATCCCTCATGCTCCCACACCTGGCATAAATGTCCACCAGCGAGCTCGCCACAAAGTTATCCAGCTCGCATCCAAATCCCTCGGCTTGCAAGTGGACAGCCATGACTCTTTCCAGAGTCCTTGTCTTCACCACCTTTCCACCGAATCTCCTGCCTTCCTCCCTTGCAGCCAAGCTCGAAAGGCCCTTGAGCACAGCCAGAAACGTCTGAGAATTCGGCCTTGCGACGAGCAGCATCCGCGAGAAGAGCTCCAAAGTCACTTCTCCCTGGCCGTTCTTGGAGTAGCCGAGCATGAGCGCTGTCCAGAGAACCACATCGTGGTGCTCCATGGCATCAAACACCGAGCGAGCCTCGCCCATGCAGCCACATCTCGCGTACATGCTCACGAGAGAGCTCGCAACGTAGAAGTTGGAACCGTTGCCACTCTCAATCGCTGCGGCATGGAGCTGCCTTCCCCTCTCGATCGCTCTTGAGCCGCTCGCCGCCTTCAATGCAGCAATGAGCTCCAGCACCATCTCCTTTTTCCTCTTGTCCTCCTCTTGTTTGATCTTGTTCCAGCTGAGAATTTTTTGATCCTCTGAGCCACTGCTGCCTGTTTTTGTGAAAGTCCTTCCTTGCATTCCTTCGCCGCTGGTGCTGGAAGCGCCATAGCCTCTCCTTTCTCTCGAGAAAAACGGCGAACTGCGAGCCGCCGGCACCACAGCCATGACATGGGAGGGAATGTGCAAGAGCTAGGCCCGCTAACCCCATACCTTTCTCCATCCCTCTGTAACCCTAGTCCTATAAACACGCATAGTTAAAACGTTTTGAATGAAGTCATCAACATATATACTTTAACCACATTTCACTTATTTGTATGTTATCATTTGAGATATAATCATTTATGTTAGAAGCATATTACAATATGTAGAGAATTTTAGAGATTTAAATGGAATAGGAAAATCTAATTTATTCCCATTGATAAAAGTTTTAAAACATAGGACACATTTAAATAGTGTTTAATTTTTTTAATTATAAATATATTAAATAATATTGATATAAATATTTTATATATATATATATATATATATATATATATATATATATATATATATATATATATATATATATATATATATATGTCTAATATTATATAGAACACTATACTATTATATCAGGCTCAAAAATGGAGGTTGATTCGTGTCCAGCTGCATTTCTCACTGGCTGCACTTCACTCGTTTTCTGGAGATCATGCTCTAAC